AATGAATCATCATTTCAGCTGGCACCGGAATCGCGGACTCGCGACTTTTCATTGCCCTCCCCTTATTCGAAGTTACGTCGCGACTGTATTAAGAAAGTTTTGATACTAAAAATAGCTATAAAAATCCGAAGAAAGCGTAACGCGCGCTCCCTCATTCCGCCCGGCGTTCTTTAGCGTCTGACAAACGGGAGTCCGGAGTTTTCCGGGATTTTCGAATTCGAGCGAAATTTGAGCGACCTCGAATCGCGCGTCTTTCGAAAAGACTCGTTCTTGGCGCGTTCCACATTTCGACGTGCCCAGTCCCATATTCCTTCCCTCGGCTCGGGATTCTAATTTCACGGAAAAGAGGCCCGTGCTCGTCTCGACTCTCGTTGACTCGCGTGATAAAAAACCGCAGATTCGTTTTTAACCCGAGCCCATTTTCCGGGGACGAGCAGAACCGAGAGCTCGACGATAGATTTCGCGATCGCGCTCGAATTAAGGCACGCCCTGGTTCGGGTAGGAAACGTAATTACAATATCTGCACGGCGAAGTGGTGCTGCGTTAATTTATTACGTGACTCGTTAAAGTTTCGGCCTGTAAATTGCGACAAGTTAGTTAATAGGATTCCATCGGAGCGTTGTACGCGCGTTGAATCGGGCGCCGTTTTCCTGCCGATCGCCCGACAACCGACCGAATGCGATCGGACTCGCGGCTAGGAATTTCGATACTGGGCGCAATTAAAAATTTATCGTTCCATCGTCCCGCGAGAACGGCTATTAATTTCGATGTTTGTAATTGGAAGCAAACGGCGGAGCGTCGGCTTGAAAAATATATCGGGGAAACGGTTCGTTCGTCGCAACATTCCGCGAGGTTAAGTCGAGGAAAGAGAGTCGCGCGTCTGCAGAATTTCTAATCCAACAACTGCGGCTACTTCGATCGAAGATTTCAATTCCTTGGGAAACGTGCATTTTCTCTCGAAACGCCCCCTCGTTGCTTTGCTTTTCGAAATTGAACGAGGTCCCGCGCCTCGCGGGCTGCATCCCAGGAAATTTCCCGCCGCGTCGGCGAAAAACTGCGGAACTCTTTGAAAATCAGTTTTCATTGTAGAATTCATGTTTCCATGGGTCAAAAACTGGGCAGCGCTAAATTATTATCGGTTCGTTCCATCGGCAGTTCTATGACAGAGGGTGGCGAGCTTTCGGTCTTGCGCCTTGTAATCTGGCGAGGGTGACCGGGCGGAAACCTTCTATCGAACAATTCAATTCCCTGGGAAGTATGTATTTCTCCCGGACGGAGGTAGGAGAGGTGCTCCGGTTCCTATGAGTTTGCATTTCAAAATTCCTCGAGGCACTCCGGAATCGGCGAAGCCGGCGAGATTCGGTTCCCGGGTGGCCTTCGCCGCGCAAACCCCTAAATAAATGATAAACACCTTTAAAGATTAAACCTGATTGAAGTTCGGAAGACCCGCGCCCTCGTTTAATTCCTATAAATTCGCCGTTCATCTGCGAATCGCGAGGAATTCACTAAAAGCGCTCCTGGAGTCCAAATCGACGTTTTAAACCAAAGGTTAATAACAAATGACGCGGCGTAAATTTTAAAGACCTTTAATGATTTTTCATTATCTCTAACGATTAAACCTGATTGAAGTTCGGAAGACCCGTGCCCTCGTTTAATTCCTATAAATTCGCCTTTCATCTGCGAATCGCGAGGGATTTACTAAAAACGCTCCTGGAGTCCAAATCGACGTTTTAAACCGAATGTTAATAACAAAAGACGCGGCGTAAACCTTTCAGCTTTCTTGCCTCCTGCCAAGGTATCCAAAGAATACATCGAGGGGGCGATTCAATTCCCTCGGCAAAATGTATTGTATTTTTCTCATCACGAAAGGATAGTTTCGCCGACGTGGATTTGCGTTTCGAAATTGGCCGAGGCCCTCATCCCCTAAAATTTGCAAAACCCCGAGGAGCTGTCGCCAGACGAGTTTGAAATTGTGTTCCATCTGTTACCGACCAGGAATTATAATTAATACCGCGCCCGGCTTAAAAAGTATAACCTATAAAACGAAACCGCCGGCACGGTGATTATAAACAATTTGCGGGAAATGCGAACGACATCGCGAGGTTTCCGTCGCAGTGACCGAAAGTGTACTCATTGGAGCGAAGTACTTGGGTCAAAAAATTCAATTCCCTTTTCCGGGGAATATGGATTCACTGGGCCCAAAGGGGTTCGCTTCTGAAAATTGCTCGAGGCTCCTCTGTTCCCGCGGAGTCGGCAGGATGCGCTATCAGGCGCGAGTGATTTCGAAATGGAATCTCCAAATTCGTTCCGGTTGGCTTTCCAGCCGCGTACCAAATTGCCCGGCATTCCTTATTCGAGCAATTGAAGTTCTAGGCCATTTCAGGAGTCGTTAAATCTCAATAACGTGCACTTTGCACTTTGCGCCGACCTCCTGTTTTCGAGATCACCGTCAGCGATTTAAGGGCCCGTCACCGCACTCTCGCCGAACATAATTCAGACTTTTCGCCCGCGTGTTGATAGGAAACGACGGACTGACGCGCTGGTGCACTCGGATGGTATTTTTGACCGTGGTCCAGCCCGAATCCCGAACGCGGAATGGATAGGGTCGCGTCGTGGGATGCGGCCAAACCCGTTTAAATTGTTTTTCCGAATCTGTCCGCGAGGAATTACGCTCGACGTGGGACCGAACTTGCGACATCGAGCCGACGAAAATATTCTATTCCAGGGACGCTTCGATTTTCACCGACGCCGTAGATCCGCAAGGGAGAAAAGTGCCTCTTGTTGGGAAACAAAAATCTCCCCATACGCTTTTCAACGCCAAGTATCAAAATATTAGACAGAGGAATGAGTTCCCGCCGTTTCTAACGTGACGTAACGTAATTAAAACGACGGGAACTTACTTCTAAGTCTGACAGTTTCGATACGGATCGGTCATTGAAAAGGTTCTTTGAAAATCCATAGGAAGTAGTAGAAGTCTATGTTGGGTCGGGCTTGGATCTCCTTTCTCTTCGATTTCTCGAACGCAGTCGAGTTTGTCGAAACTCACGGGTCGAGATCGTTTCGAGATCTGCTGGCGATCGCAAGTAGGACGCGAAAGGGGTAGAAAAGGATTTTCGGGGTCTAATGTAGGCGCGGGCACGCGTGCGGTTGCAGCGCCCGGCACGACCGAATAAAAGAGCATAAATTAGGTTTTAAATGCAGGAGCGGGATTCAGAGGCGCGTTTCTAGGCTCCTAGGTTTATGGCGCGAGGCACCGCCTCGCGAATGTCTGGCTTTTAAATTCGCGACTCGCACGTTTGCCAAAGCGTTTCTTCCCGGTTACGCGGGGAGCATTAATAGCGTTATAGGCCGGATGCTAAATCCGAACCATTACCGGAGCCGAACTACATATTTCTCGTAATCTCCCGGCATTACGGAACGCGGTAAAAACCCTGTTTTACACAGTGGCCCGCGTTCGGTTTTTGTGGCCCGTAAAGAGAATTAAGGAGAAATATCGGAATCCGTAAGAGTAACTAGGAGCCTCGTTGAATCGCGGCTTCGCACCCGTGGGAATAAATGCATCATGCAAGACCCGAGGAAAAATACCTCGCGTTTACGGGTGAAGGCGTAACGTACGTTTTCCTGACGTTACCCTTCCGCGGCGATGCGTTTTGTAATTCCCACCGGCGAGAGAAATAGCGTTTAAACGCAGCGGTGAGCGACTTCGTCGATGGCGAACCGTGTTCGAGTTGAAGGAAAAATCGGAACCGGACGGGCGCAGTTCGTACAATCCGGAGTTCCTAACCGAGATAAACTTTTTCAACCATGGCGGGGTTAATTAAAAACTCGCCGGTCCGAGAGGACTTCCTCGACGTTGATCCGCGGCGTTATTCCGCGACACTGTCGTGCGGAAAACCCTGCCAGGTCCTCGGCGAGCTCGCGGGAAGGCGACGGGTTTATCGGCCAATAATCGGCAGGCGAAGGACCTTTGTCGGACGCGAAGCGCGTCCTCAGGGGATCGAATCGCGCGCATTATTTCCCGGGAAGGTAAAGTCGGTAACGCGCCGAGGAACTCGGAGGAAAATGGAAAAAAAGTAATGCCGCCGGCGAGAGTAACCTCCGGCATACGGGGAACCATCGTTTCCGCCGAGGCCGCTAGCGATGCAATTGATAGAAACGCGCTCGTTGCGTTTTGTGGCTCGGAAAGAGCACAGATATAAAGATTCGACGTAAAGTCAATAAAAATATATCCCCTGCCGGACTCGATCGAGCCCGTAAATCGGGAATCGGGGGCTATCGCGTTTTCGACTTCCCGGAAGAACCGCTCGCGGTTTCGGCCCGTAAGTACGATCTCGCGGTAAAATTCATTAGCACCGCCGGGACGTATAACTTTTAACTAATTGCCATAATTGCGAAGCGGTCCAGCGCGAGTAATAAGCGTGATGTTTGCGCAACACCGTTCGTTATTCGCCGCTCGGCCGAATTTATACATTAATTCCGCACTCGCCCCCGCGTGTTACGGCTTCGCCGACCCATACGTTGCACCGATCGAGACCGTCGAACGTGCAATTGCAGCTGCAACGAATTCCAACGGTCGTCTTCCGTCTAGCTAACCGGCCTCGACGTTTTTCCCGCCGCTCGCGTTAACGACGACCGCCCAACGGTTATCGGGGGTGGGAATAAAAAAGTATGCACGCGTTATTTTCACGAGGGAGGCGAAGGGGTAAAATCGAGGGGGATGAGTAAAAGTAACGGTGCAACGAGGAGGACGTTGCGATCGAATGGAAGATGTCTCGCGTTACTGCCGACAGTCGGCACCGAGGCGACACCTTTTTGGGTCGTCACGCCGTATAATTCACCGTATAAGTCGAGATAAGATACGGAAGTCCGAGACTCTCGGTGGCGCCTCGCATATTGGACCCCCACGAGCCCTTTTGGCAGCGAAGATTACCAAGTTTGGCCACAACGCTCGGCGAAAGCCACTCGTGGACGCAAACTTTCCGTCCGACTCTGTAACTCACCCGTGACGTTGAGCGAAATATGCTGCACGTTGTTGCACTCGCGATTAACGGCCAGATAGGTAGGCTCGCACTTGTACAGTCCCTCGTCCTCGAGCTGCACGTTGGGGATCTTCAGGAAGGTCACGTTGGTGTTGGCCACGTAAATCATGTCCGCCCTGGAAAAAGGATGAATTTCAATGAGAAGGAGGGAGGAAACCGCGACTCCCCGCGTGGATTTGCTTTTTCAACGGGGGCGCCGAATTCTTCCTGCTTTCGGAACCGGCCGCGGAATTCTTCCGGGATCGCGCGTCCTGGCTTATAGGCGTGCCGTTAAAAAAAAACCCGGATGCGTCCCTTTGAGCGGTGCCCCGAAATTCCGAGCGAGTCTTCTCGAGAAGGGTCCTGGGATCCTTCCAGGGAAACTCGACTCTTTGAGGATCCTTCGGAGGCGTTCGGGGCTCCTAGTATTTCCAACCTCGCGATCGCGAAGAATCGCGTAAACGTCGATTCCGGACCGAGGGAGCTTTCCTGCCGTTTCGCCGAATCGCGTGACGAGCGGACGTTACGGCGCGGAATTTTCCGGCGCGTTGGCCGCGTTACTCGAGGTGCGCCACCCGAGGTGACTATTCCATTTCCGGCTCGAAAGTCGCCCGAAGCCACTGACCCAAAAAGTATATAATTCACCGGTGGACGGTTCTCTTATTGCCGCGAGCGAACTTCGACTTCCTTATGGCGGACACGCCGAGTCGAGTTCGCGGATTTCCGCGTCCTCGTCGATATCAGGAGGCGATTTTTCCCCAAGTCGCGGCTACTCGTCCCCAAGGAATTCCACTCGATTTTGGTGCCCCTTTCCTTTTCAGATCTCTACGCCGACATACAATTTTTATTGAACCACAGAAATATTCCTTTGAATGGAACCGAGGAGATATATTATTAATTCAAAGAATAGTCAATTGACTCAATTAAAATTGAACAAATTGGACGTGACGTTTATTCCGAATCGCGACAAATTATTCGAGCCAGATAATTATTCTTTGAATAAAAAATACATTTCTTTGGTACTATTCAAAGAAATACTGTTTTGATTCAATGAGGTGTTTCCTCGGGGTATCTATTTCGAGAGGTTAGGCTTCTAACCGGAAAAAGGAGTTGATTGAGTTAATACAATACATGAATTGTACATGATTTTTCATTGTCGCGAGTAAATTTCAACCGCCTTATGACGTCCCCGTCCTCCTCGAGTCCGAATGGGACTTTTCAGTCAGTCGCAGTCCCTCGTCTCCAAGGAGCGGAATTCTACCCGATTTTACCGTCTCCTTCCTTTTTTAATCCCTGTCTACTTCGAGTCGCGAACCAGGAGAGGGCACGAAGAGCTTAGGCTCGTAACCGGAAGAAAGGGCCGTTCGTTAGCGGTCCTCGGCGGATTCCCGTGTCTCGAGGCAACGATCTCCGGTTCCACCCTTTTCTGGAGGCTATCCTCCAGAAAGCTGCGCGTAACGTGGGCGCTCATCCACGAGGAATCTATCAACTTTATCGCGCCAGAAAATCCGAATTTCTTTGCGCGGCTCCCTTTCCGCCCGTCAAGAGAAGCCGGCAAAAGAACCGGGAGAGTGGATCCTCGGAACGCTGGTCGGAAAACCGATTCGAAATTTTATGACGCATCGATCGTTCCTTCGGGGAGCAATTACGTCCCGACCGGATTACCGAGCTCTCGAAGTTGTCGCGGCCTAGGTCATCCCCTTCCGATCGACGGACGAGAATCGCCACGACTCACGTCTTGCCGACAAATAATGCCTCATAGAGATACGTGTAAACGGTGTCGTTTTTTTCGACAACGGCTGCGTTGAATCGCGAACGTAAATACACACCTTCGGCATCTTGCCGGGTGTAAAGAACCTCGGCGTGGCTCCGTTAACTTTAGAGAGCCCGAGAAAGATGGCGGCATCCCGTCACAATGGATGCATCCGTATCGATCATGCCGAGCGTTATTTCCTCGCCGGTTGCTTTTTTCTACGGAGGGCCGAAGGAGGGATTTATGGAGCGTCGAGTCCGAGCAAAAGCGACAAAATATCGAGCCCGATCTCGCGCGGTTTCCCCTCGGCCCTTAAATTAGATCTTAAATCTCGGTCTCCGGGCGATCCATCTCGCGCCCCTCGCGATCGCTTAGATAAACGCCGCCCGTTGAAATTAGTACATCGGAGGTTGGACGGTCGGAGTCGGAAGCGGAGGGGACCGCCTTATTCTCGGGCCAAAGATCGATCGGACGTTCCCGGTGTTTGAAAAATTAAGGGAGTAGTCTCCTAGCCGAGGTGTACGGTCCGGACGCGATGTTTGCTCTGCAATCTCGGCGGTCTCCTGTCATATTTATTCCGAAGTTCCACGCTCTCTCCGCCTCATTGTCGCGGAACTTGGCGGGGCGCACTCCTCTAATGAGCTCGACTGCCTTCCAAAATTTATAACTCCTTTATACTTCTGCGCATAGCGGCGGAATCTAAATTTCTAATAAGGCGGCTTCGCCGTGAATTCAAATGCACGATCGGCCGGCACGAACGCGGCTTAAACGGTCGAGAGGCGAGAGCTGGAATTTCCGCGTTTCCGGAATACCGATACCGGCCAATGGAAATCAGATTTTCCTCGGTCTTCGTTTCCTCGAGCCCGACGGACTTCGCTTGCAAAGATCCCCCCGCCCGAAATGGTAGCTTTGACTGGTCTTTTTCATTCCCCATCCAGGCTTTGACGATCCGCGTTCGAGGGAGCTTTTCCGCGTTATCGAGATATTTGTCCACCGCGGGTTTAAATAATCCCGCTCTCCCATCAGGATCGTTACCTTGAGTTCAATAATTTAGGACCCACGTATTGGGGCACGTTGCACCCCTTCGTTGATTACGAACTCGGTCCATCTATCCGACGCCTATTCCCGTGATGCACGACCCACCTTTGCGTGGCCATGATTTATGCTCCGCGATACACGCGTGCGAGCGAAACAATTCCGGTTGTGCCTCGCAATCACGCCAAATATTCGGATCGAGCTTAACAAGATTCCGTCAGTAACTGCCAAGTAGGATTACCGCCGAGCCGAACTCGTGGAATACCAATCGACATCGAGTGCCCCTCTCCTGTCTTTGGATCTTTGGCCTTCCGCGCTCGCGGAATCGGTCCCCGGAAAATCGACGTCAAACGACGAGTGACGATTTATATCCGCTTTAACTGCCGCGAGGGAAGTTAATCTCCGACGAGGGATCGCGGAAACGGAGTTTGCGCGCAAGGATCGTATGCTCTGCCTTAATCTTGCCGTCTAAGGAGCTCGTAATCGCACGTTACGCGGAGAATCCTGAGGAGCAACCCCTCGGGTTGCAATGAAGTACAATATGACATTGTGCCGATAATTATGGCACGCAGCTATGCGGAAATGCCTCAAAGGACGCGTATACCACGCGGCGTACACGGCGATGCTCGCAGCCTCGATTGTAGTTCATGGTTTCCAGAGTGCAACTATCGCGGGAGGGGATACTGCAATAAATTCCCCATAAAGCCGGCGACTATCATTGCGCCCAATTTCGGAAATACGAGGCCGATAACGAATTTAGTAACGGCTATCTTAAATTCAACCGATCTAGTCCGAAAGGAACTGGGCGACCAGCTGACGCGACGTTCGGCGACTGCTTCCGATTTTTCACTCCGACAAATGAATTTCATAGTTTTCCCCCGGATTTCCGCATTTTTCCGCAGCCCCTCCCCAAGCCCGCGTAATATCTGAAACTTTCCTCGACTCCGGCGTAATGCAAATGTCGCGTTCGAATTCCATTACACGGGAATGCTACATTTCCGCCATCTGTAGATTATTATGTTAAATAGACCAAACGGGGATGTCCAGTTCCGCAGACACGAGATGAATATTCACCACGTCCTGTAATACGGCAGAAATGGAAACAATATCTGTTGGTTTAGGTTGATAATGCTGACGGGATGGAAGTAACCTAACACTATGCGTACCCTGCTAATTACTCAAATTTCAGGGAACAAGAAGTTTAGTATTTCGTCGTCTCCCTGCACGTCTACTTGTTCGGATAAGTCGACAATATCTCTGGTTAAAGGAAAACTTTAATCGCATTTACGGAGACTTGGGAAATTTAAAGGAGTCTCGTCCCTGGTGATCATCTTAAAACGAAAGGAAAGGAATACTTGGTACGCCCTCGTAGGAATAAAAATATATCTCTCTTTAAAATATCTCCGTATCTCGGCCGAATAAACGCGGAATCGATCCGGGACATTTTTTATTCTCCGATTAAGAGCTCGCGGACCCAGTTACGGAAATCTCCTTGATCCAGGTTCCATCTTGTGGTCCACTAAAAGCCCAGATCAGTCCGCGCGTTTAAGCGGGGAATTACTTATGCGTGGGGTTTGCTCCGGAAGGCTTTCCCGGATTATTGGCGCCGGTTTAGGTAATTTGTGGGATTCGGTATTTATTTAAACGGTTTACCAACCTGGCAGCGACACTGCTGTTGCCTCGGGTGACACCGGCTCCCTCGCTGAAAACGAATATGCGTTTTGGACCTCGGTACCACTTGATGCTGTGGAGTCCGTTGCACTTAGGCAACTCCAGGGCACACGGCAATTCCACTTCCGTCCCCAGCTCCGCATTTTTCTCCCTTCTAGATGACGGCTCGCTGATGCCTGCAACGGAATACAACTACCTTTTAGTCGACTGCACTTGCCGGCAAATAGCTACGTTTCGGGCAAGCGGTTACTCGAGAGGGATGTGCAAAGCATTTCAATAAGAATTGATTACTCTAGGCGGAGAAAAATCGTTCCCGATTTCCTCGTGGATAAGAAGCAAACGTGTGCATGTCGATTCGCTCGAGCTCGACTGTATCGGCAGAAAGTTCGCGCAAAGTGTATCGTTTTCCTCCTAGAGTGCGAGACAAAATTGAATTCCGCCCTGCCGATTGAGCGATCGCTTTATTTCCATCGAATCCCGGGTTATCTCGAGCAAATTGCCGATGCAGTTGGCAGAGTTTTCTTACAATTTATGCCCCGGAACGCATAATTCGGGTTTGGCAAATATTGCGATTCAATCGGGCGCGTTTCATTTCTCCCGTGGAATTACCGAGCGCCGTGTACTTCTTTAGGGGTGCAAGCGTACCAATAATGCGCGGGATTGAAATATTCCAGCAATGTTTGGGCCCTGTCACGTGGAAAACACACATTTACTGGGGAATATTTTGCATGAAGTCGAACATATTTAATGAAATACTTTCGGTGCTTTGCAACGCGTTTATCGGCGGCTTGCAAATTGGAATGTGGCCGTGCAATCGGTGCGAGGTTTGTAACCGCCATAGCTCCAATCGATACGTTCGTTTCCTTATCATTTTCCTTGTCCTTGCAGGTGCACAGGAAAAAAAAAATTAAGATTTGCTTCACTCGCCGGTAAATCGAAATCTCCGATTGCCCCCAAATTGTCAAAGATCTCAAACCCCCTGAAACGGTATCTCTGCAAAATGTCGGGTAATTTTTAATTCCGACACGAGTGCATCGTTAAACGCATAATCCGCGCAAATACCTCGTATCCGCGCGTGACATTCCATTGCGGTCGCAACGAATCTACATTTGTCTCGGCTGTAATGCACGTATCTGGCCGGTAGCCAAATTTGGGGTACCGTCGGTTCAACTATTTGGTCTTTCGCAAGGAAAGGTTAAGTTGCATTAGAGAAATGCATAGAAACTGCGCGGAATAACGCGCGCGGCGCGTTTGCCCCGAGCTTTTACCAAAATTGTCTCTTCCGAATATCGATGCTCGTGGACCCACCCCCTAAATTCGCGATGCACTGTACGGTAGGAAACGGTACAGTTGGCTGCTTAAATCTTCCCAGGGTTTACTTAAACGGATTTGTTTTAGGGGGTAGTCTTAAATCAAGGGGGGAAACGGGAATCCGAGTACGTTCTTCTCCGAAATTATTCCAATTCACTTTTCGTCTCGATCACGTTGCTACCACAGTCGCGTCTTTCCTGGCAATATGAAAGGATTCGAGGGAATTTTATAAACACGTAAACCGACTCGAGACGGCCGACCCATTCGACTCCGGCACGTTGATTTCATTTTGTCAGGATCCTGCCAGTTGAATTTGGAAAAGAGCTCTCGGCTCTATGGGACAATATCGACAGTTTTCGATCGGGTGTCACGCACTTACGAGAGGCGTCGAGAGTATCCAATATGCATGGACCGCCACTTCGATCGAATGGCGGATTTACAGGGCCCAAAATGAAAGACTACTGACTCGGAAATCAGTGAAAATTAATTCCTCATTTGAGAGCCGATTGCTTTTCATTTTATATGATAAACAACAAGGCGGCTCGGTAATAAGTGATCGGCCTTTAAATTGTGGCAGCGTTTTGGCGATTTCCAACGACTCCCAACTAATTTTCACGTGATATCAAGCGCTAAAATCCACGATTTCCTAAAAGAGAGATTCCGTAAAACATTCATGGTTTCGCGACCGATAGAATACGATACATCCAATTAAAGTATTTGTCTGGATATTTGGAGCTGCAGACAATTTCATGAATTTCCACGAATTTTGCTACTTCCTTCTTTTTCTTTTTTCCGGCTGGTTTATTGCCTCCCTTATAACGCGATCCGCGGGATCAACGTTGAAAAGCGACGTCGTAACGCGAACCATAAAGAAGATCTTTAGGAATGATGTAAAATGTTCGCCAGGAATTTCGCCTGGCACCTGAACATCCCGTCCGGTCTCCTCCGTAACGTCCATCTATTTTCCGTAATGCATCGAAATAAAGTACCCCGGGTTACCGGGTCGTTATTTTTCTTTTATTAACTTGTCGCAGAAATAACCCACCGAACCTAATATGTAGCCCGAAGCCTGTCATTTTCTCCGAGGATGTTGTTTTAGCCCTGTTTCGACGGTAATGAATATACCTCTAGACATGCAATTCCATGATTAAGGACCGAGACTCGCAACTGCCGTACTGAAATTAATCCTAAATATTTGCAATAGCCTTTGTAATTACAGTCGAAAATGTCTTGAAAGGCGAAGACGGGGATAAATTTACCCGCGTTGACATTTTTCACGGCAGGTGGTGTCTTGAATCGATCGAAACCTCTCGCAGATAATTGACACATATAGCTCGCGTTTCAGCTTTTCTTTTTTCATTCGCCTTGAGAAGAGCCAGGCAGAGGAAACGTTATTGGAAACGTATAGGATTCCGACCTCAATAACGACGAGGGGAAACCGGACCGTATGCAAGGAACTAGATAAGTCACAGAACTTTAAAGGGTACATTTGTTCCCAGGTCCCTATTAAAGCTGTACTCGAGTCTATAAAAGTTTTCCCCAAGAAGCAGGTTGCGCGTACGCACATCGATGATTAATGGCCGCGCAACTTCCTCGAACTTGAACCGTAGTGAAAGTTTGAGCTTTATAGGGTGCCGAATTGCGCCAATTCTCGTTCAACGAGACGTGGCAAGCGTGTTCTTACGTGGCAAAAACAGTGTAGCCCAAATCCGGACGCGAAGGAGAAGAGAAGCAACATTTACGAGCAACAGTCGTCTACTTATTGCGCCGTGTCAATTTTTTCATCTTCAATTTTCAAGTATTGTACGTTTGGTGTCAACCTCTGGAACTACCAGAGGTTGACACCAGCGAGCATATACTGGGAAAATTAACCCACCTCCTATCCGGAGATTGCCTGATTAACAGAACCCTAATAGACGTCTGCGCGAGCACCGGCACTACAATCTGTAATATCGTTAGTAGTAAACTATCTCTCGTGATTTAATTAATGATATTCGAATTACCACCCATCTGTAGAGTCCGGAAATCGTTCTGGAGCATCGGCAAGCTCTTAGTGACCATTCCGAAAAATATAGAAGGGGACGGATAAGAAAATAAAAATAAAGGGAAATTGAAAACTTTCCCTTCCGAGGATCCCTCCACTCATTGTCCTCGACTCGGCTCAACTTCTAAGAGAACGGCCACTTCGATCGCATCGGTAAATCTAACGAATAGCATAGCCGGAAACCAAGCCCGAATCAGAGGGAATAAACGGTCTGAGATTCGATAATCGAAACGTTCGAGATCCAAGCCAAAGGGGTGAAACAAGAGGAGCGGAATCCTATCCTGTGAGCATAATGTCGGTTTCCGCCGTCTAGGGAGCGAAACGTCGGGAGCGGAACCCATTCCTAAGAGCGGAATGTCAATTCCGCCTTCCCCCGCAAACCGTTCCGTTACGCGAGCGATTCGTCTCGGTCTTACCATGAGAACGCGACAAACTGTTCGGATTATGCTCTTTTGTCTCGGGCGAAATAGGGCCGCCGCGTGCAGAAGGCACTCAAAGCCCGAGACGTTCCTCTTCGCGGCCACTCGCGAGATACTGGATTTATTTTAACGTATTGTAAAAACGCCACATCGGTTAAGGACCGCTCTTACCGCAAAGACAATTTACTCCCAGGGTACGATTCCCAGAGCCCCGAAAATTTCACACTCCGCGTTCGCCGCCATGACACTTTTTAGACAGACTCCGGCGCGCTTATCGATTCCATGCAGACTTCTTTCCCTTATCCAGGGGTTAATTTAATTTCCGATTCCGAACCAACGAAACACCCTTTCCTCTGGTTATCGAGTCGGCGAAACAAGGGCCGACTTCCTTGACAGCGGAATGTCAATTCAACCCTCCCTTACAAACCGTTTCGCAGTCGGGCTGGGCGATTCGTCTCGGTCTTGCCAGGAAGGCAATAAATCGTTCGGATCGTGCCGTTTCCCTGCGGCGGAAAAAAGGCCGTCCTAAACGGCGCTCACGTAGCGTACTTCAAACCGAGGCAGAGAATTCGACCGAGTTTATTCCAAGTTCCTCCTATAAGGGAGAAAAAAATAATAAAATAAACATTTTAGATGCAGCCCCCGAGACCGCTCCGAGGTACGTGCCCCTCGCGTCGAGCTATCGCATCGATATCGATGTCGCAGACGAGCTCGGGGATTCTTTCGCTTTTTAAAGCCGAGTTTCAAGTGAGATCGAACATCGCTCGTCGACGTTGGCCCATTTCCGTCGACGAGATTCAGCGAGACTAGACGCGGCATGGACCGCTCCTTCGTCGGTCTTCGGACAATCCATCCATTAGCGATCGGCTCGTCGATCGATACGGTTCGGCGAATTCGATCCTAACGACGTCAAGCACCGAGGGAACTCGGAGGAATTTCATCGCGAGCTCGTCAACTCGACTGGATATCAATTCGATCATTTATCCGAGCCTGAGTCACGAGACTGCTATTTTCAGTGCGTTATCCGATATCCAGCGGATGCCTCCATTCGCGGGAATTTCCTCCGGGGGGTCGACCCTGGAATTATTGGATAGATCCCCATGTCGATAGTCGAATTAGGGCTGGGTGGCTTCTTCAGGGGGCGGAGGGAGAATCGACAAACTGCCGATTTTGCGGTCAGAAATAGACCGGCAGCAGACCGCAAGGATGATAGAAGGATGTCTTGCACGGGTTGGGACGATTTTTTAAGGGGTAGAGATGATTCTATGGGGGAATATGAGAAAAGAGTCTGGTATGAGTGATCCAGCGGGACCGATGATGACGGCGGGGCATGGTGCAACATTTACTAGGTAGTACGTAATTAACATTGTTTTATTATCAAAGTAGCTCGGGTCCGTTTTTC